TTCTTTTTTCCCATAAGGGGTTTGTTTGCCTGCTTTGTGGGTGTGGGCAGTTTTGATAGGCTCTTTCTTCCTAACAGGTGGTTGGGAATTGCCCTGTCCTCCAGTGAGCTCCTTTAAACCTCATTTTAAAGCAGAGTTCCAAGTATTTTTGGAACTAGAAACCCGCGGTAGTCTTTGCATGCTTTAGCCTCGTCCCCCTCCTAGCAAGGAGGCAGGGGTTTTCCACCAGCTCATTTCCTAGCTGCAGTGTCCAACCCTAACTTTGCGTTGCCTTCCCCATGCTTATTCAGGAAAGATGTAACAGTGTTGTTTCTGTGGGGTTTTCCCTGTGTTTAGGAGTATACCTGTTAAATAAGTTACATAACCGCTAACTAGAAATCTAAACTTTTCTTTTTGATCATTTTCCATTAGCTGTAGTTCCATAAATTCTGCAATGTTAGACTGCTTGTATATTTTTTCCTCAGTGAATAAGGATTTTTAAATTGAACCAACCTTCTTCTGCATGCCTGTCTCTTCTTCTTTCCTTTCCCAAAGTCTTAAAGCCCCTGGGTTTGGCAACTCCTTACAGGTTGTGCCCAAGCCACCAATCACATGAGAATAAAGGCCAGAAAAAGAAAAGACCAGATGGCATCAAAACATACACCTTTCTAGGTCACTTGTGGCTGAGCTTGCAATCTGGTTTCCAACAAGGAGCCTATGGGAGAAAGAGGAGGGAGCGGCAGCACAGTGGGGATGAATTTGCCATTTGTCCCTTCTTCCAGCTATTGACACAATCAAGAGAAAGTACATTCATCGAGGAGAATGTAATGCTCTCCAGTTTATAGTCACGGGATACCCATGGCTTGTGGAAGGGTACATTTCCCCTGTGTGGAGTGGAATCACATGTGGAAACACAGTCATTGAAGGGAAGCCTGGGAAGTGTGGCTCTCGCTGGGCCAGCTGCTGCCCTTCAACTGCCACCGACCCGCTATTATTCTCCTCTCCAAATATCTGCTTATTTGTCAGGGCAAAAACTGGAGGAGATCGCATTTAGCTCCCACAGGAGAGCCAACCCCCTCCCCCCACTTGCCCTTCCTACCACTGTCCATGTTGCGGTGCTGTCCTTAGAAAGCAGGTAGCCTGGCTAAAACCTACCCTGAGAATAATGCAAAGCTGGCATTTGTGAGACAAGGCGTCTCACAGATGCTTTGTAATTACCTGACTGGTAGTAGCCTAAAAAAAAATAGAAGAGGGACTTCTGCCTTTCCTGTTCATTCAGACATTAAACCTCACCTCTTGGTCTGACTAGTCCGTGATTTATTACTTAATAAATATACATGATTTATTGGCAATCCCCAGATATATCTCCATGATCCCCAGGCTATTAAGCATAGTTGATATTTCCTTATAGAATGCCAGTTTCATTATTGGCTCTTGAATGAAATTTTGAATTTAGTCTTAGGTTTATAAATCAGTTGTTTTGTTGGTTGTTGGTCATGGAACGTGAACTCCGGGCCTGGGTGTTGCCCCTCAACAATTCAGCTCAAGGCTATCACTTCTGCTTATGTGGTGCCGAGGAATCGAACCCGGGGCCTCACGCATGCAAGGCAAACACTTTTACCCCTGAGCTACCTTCCCAGCCTTAGATATTTTTAATCTTAGATTTTATATTTGGTCCCATTCTACAAATTTAGGTCCTTTCCATCCTCTTTCAGTTACCTGGGAATCCTTGCTCCTTTGTAGACAAATTCAGTATCCTTCCATCCAAAGAAAAGCTGTAGCTTCTTTTACAAGTCTGCCTTCTCTACTAACAATCTCTGCATTTATTCAGATTCCATCATCCTTGATATCTGCATGACTCACTTCAGTATGGACATCATGAAAGAAAAGAGAAGGCTTTGTTCTGCAGTCTGGATTCTAACCTTTTTATTTTACTTACTTTTATTTTTTGAGACAGAGGCTTACTATATAGCTAAGACTGGCCTCGAACACATTATATACTCCAGACTGACGTCAAATTCTTGCTCACCCTGCCTTAACCTCTGTAATGCTGGGATTAAACGCTTGTTACTATCGTGCCAAGTTTTGGTTTATAAGCTCTTATTAAAGTTTTCACCTTTTCACCTTTCCCAACCAGGCTGAGAACACAAAAGTCATGTAATAAGCACAACTGAATGTTAGGGGGAGGCATGAATAGATTTTGAACTCGGGGCCTCAGGTTTGCTAGACAGACACTATCATTTGATCCAGGCCTCCAGTCCTTCCATTACTTTTGAGATTTGGTTTCACTTTTTTGCCCAGGTCTAGCCTCTTGACTGCAACTCTCCTACATATGCTTCTGTGTAGCTAGGATTATGAAACATACCACCATGCCCAGTTTACTGACTACCTTTTTGCCTGGGCTGACCTTGAACCGCAATCCTCTGGAACAGGTGTGTGTCACCACCATGCCAGGCCAGATTCTTTAAAAGAGCGGAAAAAGACATATTAATATGATGTTAGGGTTTGTTTTTGTTTTTGGTCTGCACCCTGCAGTTTGTTTGTTCTTTTTTAGTGCTGAGGATCCAACTTGTGGTCTTGTGCATATTAAGCAAACATGATGCACCACTGAGCTACCTTACCAGCCCTACATTATTTTTAGGGTAGGTTTTAGTCTCACAAAACAGAAAATCATCTCACTCTTTTTGTTCTTAATGTGGAATTATAGTAAGGAATCGGTTTCACGTTTCTTAAGACTAAAATGTGAAAGATAATTCTACTATGTACCAAATTTCTGGAGTTAAGTAATTTTAAAAAAATTCTTACAACATGCTCCTTGTGAATTTTACTAGTTGCTCTGTTAACATTTGTAGGAGTTTAAATTCAGAGTGGAGCCTCTGGGTATTGGCAAGAGAACCCGCAGTTTCTCTCGCCTTCTAGTCATTAGCCTACTAGTGCGGTTGTCAGGCAGTGTGACAGTCCTCCTAAGGAGGGATTCAAAGGTACTTTTTATTTTGCATGAGATTTTTCTGTTTTTGTTTTTGCCTGTCACAGAAAGATCAACCTGCTCCTGTGGCATTTCCCGTCTTAAGAGATTTTAGGTCCCATAGCAGAGAAATAGAGTGACTTTAAAATTATTGTATGTCATTAATGGGAAATCCATTGATGCACCTTGTAGAGAAAATGAAAACATTGTTGTAGCCGCAACAAGTTTGGCAGGTTTCAGCCTGAAGCCAAGCATTAGACCTGAAGTGATTGCTCAGTAGACATCATTTGGAGTGGCAGTTCTCATGGACCCTTGACTAACTGGACTGTAGGTGCTACAAGATTGGGGACAGTTCATCAGCCAGACCTCTGACCTCATGACTTGTCATCATCCTTGCTTATCAGTGGTGCAACTGGCTGCCTACCACTGTCTCCTACCCTCTTTGAAATTGCTAGCATTTGACATTTTCACTTGGCATGTTTTTCCTGTGGTATTAACACAGGAAAAGCATAGTTTGGTGAGTTCTTGAAACTGTTTTGTTCTCTTGGAGGAGAACACAAAAGATGTATTTGTTCCCGAAGCAGTGGGGACAGTTGCTAAAAGTTTGGTTATGGTTGTTTAGGGAGTTAAGGGTACCTGACATGTATGTACTCTATTTTCAGATACTCTGTTTATCTGATGGATGATGCTCGGTGTTATGAAACACAGACCCAAAGATGGCATCTGGTATTGCTTTAGGATAAACGTATACACCAGAATGCTCTCAATTCCATGCTCATGGTTCCTGGTTCAGGGAAGGTGAATCCGGTGGACCAGAGAATACTATGATGTTTAGTGAGAGGATTCTGTCACCTGTTTCCCTTGGGTACAAAAGTGGAAGCTAGTTGAGAGAGAGAAAAATAAAAATTAATGAACTGGAGAGTATTTTATGGGCTGTTGTTTTACTGGCTAGACTTAACCACAGGAGATATGTGTATATGTATATACACACACATACATACATACATATATATGGTGGTGGTAGTGGTTGTGGGACTTGAACTTTGCCTGGGTGCTGACCCTGAGTTTTTTTGCTCAAGGTTAGCTCTCCACCACTTTGAGCCACAGCACCACGTCTGGTTTTTCTGGTGGTTAGTTGGAAATAAGAGTCTCATGGATTTTGCTGCCTGGGCTGGCTTTGATCTGTGATCTTCAGATCTCAGCCTCCTGAGTAGCTAGGATTACAGGCATGAGCCACTGGCGCCTGGCTCAAATTGCCCTTTGTATAAAATGAGAAATGGTTGTGGATGGGGAAGTACATACAGTTTGACCTAATAGGTATATATAGTAAAGAGAAGAAGGAATGTGTGTGTGAGAGAGAGAAGAGGAAGGGAGAAAAGAAGAGAGGAAAGGGAGTAGTACAAACTTTTGAGACTTTTATACCTCCTTGGAGCACCATAGCTGTGAAACTTGTACTCTAGCTTGTGGTTTTAGGCATTCAAAATTGATTACAATTGCTCCTGTGTGTGCATGTGTGCACATACCATTCTTGGAGTCTAAACTCAAGGCCTGGGCAATGTCCTTGGGACATTTTGCTCAAAGCTACTACTCTACCTCTTGTCCCACAGCTCCATTTATAGATTTTTGCTGGTTAATCATAGATAAGCTTCTCACGGACTTTCTGCCTGGGCTGGCTTCAAATCATGATCTGTAGATCTTAGCCTCCCAAGTACCTAGGATTACAGGTATGAGCCATTGATGCCTAGCTCCAGTATGTTTTTATATGTACATATTAATACATTGGAGAGTGTATGGGGTAGCTTAAAAAATAAAGCAACCCCCAGAGAGATTACCATTGGGATTATAGTATGACTGGTGTCTACAGAGTACAACAGAAATGCAGGTACCCCTATACTTGTAGAGACTTTGAAGAATTAGAGGTATAACATGATTATAAGGTAAATTACTCCAAATTCTGAATTGTCTTTACCATAGGTTCAGTGTTTCTAGTAGAGTGTCTGGACTATGCTAAGTTTTTTGTTTTGTTTTGTTTTGTTTGCCTTTTTGTCTTTCTTAGACGAGCTCATCTGCGCCTATGTTTAGAACGCTTAAAAGTTCTGATTCCATTAGGACCAGACTGCACCAGGCACACAACACTTGGTTTGCTCAACAAAGCCAAAGCACACATCAAGGTGAGAATGTCTACTTTGTGCATTGGCATATGCTTCTCAGGGCCTGGGTTTAATTATTAGCAATGATTCCTATTTACATACATCAGCTAGCTTACCATGCTCTCTTTAATAATTGACCTCAAGAAGAATCTTTCTGGAAACTGGCCAGCTAATATGGGAGTAACATAACCTGGTTGTTGTGACAATGGCCAGTTGAAGAGTTGAGAACACTAGGAAAATAACAATTCGCTTCCTTATACCCAGAAGGAAGGCAATTGTGCCCTCTGGTGGACATGACTTTATTTGGCTGTGTGCCTCAGTATTTTTCCATCACACTGCAGAGTGAGTGCTTATCCCTTTGTGGGGATTCCTTTACAGACTTTTAGAATTCTATTTTTCTCAAGTAATGTAGCATTCATAGACAATAAAGGAAACTACTTTTGATATTTAAAATGTAACTTCTTTATGTTTTTATATACATAGGCACACACACACACACGCATATATATACACACACAAACACGTATAGATGTGTGTTCATTCATGTTTCTCTGCCAAAGACCCCTTTTAAGATGTTATGTAGCAATGTTTTAATGTTTGTATTGGACTACACACAAATGTAAATATTTCGTCGTTTTAGAAACTTGAAGAAGCTGAAAGGAAGAGCCAGCACCAGCTTGAGAACTTGGAACGAGAACAGAGATTTTTAAAGCGGAGACTGGAACAGCTGCAGGGTCCTCAAGAGATGGAACGAATACGAATGGACAGCATTGGATCAACTATTTCTTCAGATCGTTCTGATTCAGAGCGAGGTAGGCAGTGTTTCTCTTCTCTGCCTGGATTTAGGGAAGGTGGGCTGCCTTTTTAGCCAGTGTAACATTCTGGGTTTTGTTTATTTTGGGGGGGGGGAGAGGATCAAACTCAGGGCCTCACAATTGTTAGGCAAGCACACTCTAAAATAAACGAAAGCCCAACTCATTCTAGGTTTTATTGATCAGACTGTCTAGTAGTAACTTGGTGAACTTACAGAATTTTGGCTTTATTTTTCTATTTTACAAGTTTTCCATGGAAAATCTTGAGTTATCTATCCTCCCTCCAGCATTCTCTCTTATAGTAGTTACTGAAGCCAAGAAGTGAACACTGATAGAATACTAATAAGTAATCTCTTGATTATGAGTTCAAATTCCACTACTAACCTTTGTCTGGTCTAAGATCCTAGGGTGGAGTCCCCCAGAGCACTAGAATTCTTTTGCAGAACACTGGCCCAGTTTTATTCAGTACCCCTTGATTGGAGGATTTTTTTGTTTTTTGTTTTGCATGTTTTCAAATCATTAGACTGACGGTATACATTTGGGCAAGAAGTATCACAGAAATGGTCATGTGTCCCTGGATTCAGTATGTCAGAAAGATGCACTGATGTTATATCTTGTTTACCAGTGATAGTGATTTTTGTCTGAGAATACAACACCCTTCACTTCTTTTGCCTCTCGTACAGCATTTGTCTTTGGCAGAATTAAGAAACAAAAGTCAACCAAAAGAGAAAGGGTCTGAGTTTTATTTTCTATCCATCTGTAGCTACCACCACCTTAGTGGCAAAGTGACAGAGGGTTTGCCTGGCATGCAAGAGACTCGGGTTCAGTTTCTAGTACAGCAAAAAGAAAAAAATGTAGGGGGAAAGGCTTCAAGCTATATTTAATGCAAATATATTTGACTGGCTTATTTTAGTTGCTGAACAGTAAAGAATTTTAATCCAGATACCTGTGGCTCAGACCTGTAATCCCAGCTACCCAGGAGGCTAAAATCTGAGGGTTGAGGTTCAAAGCCAGACCAGGCAGACAAGTTCATGACACCTTTATCTCCAATTAACTACCAAAAAGCTGAACGTGGATCTGTGGCTCAAGTGGGAGAGTACCAGTCTTGAGCAAAAAAAACCCAAACAAACAAACAAAAACACTAAGAGACAGCACCCAGGCCAACTTTAAGCCCCAGTACCAGCACCAAAAAAGGTAAACTGCAGATGGGTCTGTAGAATGGTACTATCAAAGGCCTCGGAGATGCTTTGCCTGTTTCTCAATTTTTTCTCTTCACCCTCATCCCACCCCACTCCACATACTTTAAGGAAACCTTGATTAATAAACAGCACCAACAACTGCTTTTTTGTTTAATGCAAAACAGATGTGTTAAACCACTTGGGTTGGGATCTTTTAATATTAAGTATTAATTTCCAAATAGGCCAAGTGCTTTTAGTGGGAGGTCTAGACGGACCGGCGTCAAAGGGTTTTAGTAAACTTGCTGCCTAAATTAAGACCACCATTGTACACAGACATCCTCCTTTGTGGAAAACAGGCCTGTTTCTTCACCTTCAGTTCCCCCATTCTCCAGAGATCACTAATAATAAGCCTATTGTATAATGTTTACTTGATAACTGCTTCTTCCCCCTGCCTTTTAACTTTTGAAGGTGCACATATGGATTATTCATGTTCTTTTCCTTTCCTTTGGCAGAGGAAATTGAAGTGGATGTTGAAAGCACAGAGTTCTCCCATGGAGAAGTGGACAATATAAGTACCACCAGCATCAGTGACATTGATGACCACAGCAGCCTGCAGAGTATTGGGAGTGACGAGGGTTACTCCAGTGCCAGTGTCAAACTTTCCTTCACTTCCTAGAACCCAGCATGATGTAACAGTGCAGGGCAAAATATTCACTGGGCCAATCCAATCCAATCTCTTAAACTGGGTTCATGATGCAGTCTCCTTTAGAACTACACAAAACTATACTTGAACAAAAGGGTCAATAGACCTGTATTTAAGCAAATACTTACTAGCAAAAAGTGGAGTAGAGCCTCCCCAGCAGAACAAATATTCCAAATATTCATTCATATTGGGGGAAAAAAAAAACACAGATTCTAATGGCAGCAGAAAATGTGTGTGAAATTGTCTTGAGTTGTAGTTGATTTAAGAGGACAGTGCAGCTTCCATCCTCTTTCTTTTCTACTTGGGTCATATTGTACTGAGCAGACACATTGAAGGATGTGGTTATGAACCCTTCCTGAACGTGATGGCCCTAGAAACAAAATCAAACCTATAGTAAGGAAAGGACGAGATAATCAGGCATTATTTTTGCATAGCTAAAAGAGCTATTAAAATTCCAGCCTGGGATAGTTTATCACAAAGCCTGTGGATGATCAATTCTTTAAAATTAAAAAAAAAAATCATTTCATGCTCTACAAAAGGAGAGACTACATGAAGCCTTTTGAGAGATCATCATGCAGCTCAGCTTTCTGTTGGATTCCATGCTAAGCAAGCTAACCTTATCCTGCATTGTTAGCACTAGGGCGCCCAACCGCCAGCTCGCCAGCCGCCGCCCCTCGGCCGCATGGGGGCAGTTCCGTGCATGACAGCCTCTGTCACACAAAGGCCTATGAGTGTGGATTGGGGAGCCAGAAGGAAAAAGCTCCACGTGCCTCCGTGTCTGCGTGGGTCAGAAGTGTTGTGCACGCAGGTTAGCAGGCCAAGGTCTGAGCCACAGCAGCATTTTTATTTGAGATTTTGATAACTGTTTATATGTGTTGAAAACCAAAATGACATCTTTTTAAAGCTTGTCCATAAGTAAACATAGATGTCTTTTATAGTGGAAAAACACATGGGGAAAAAATCATCTATTTTGATGCAGCATTTGATAATGATAAAACACCTCACACCTCTCTTTTTAGTGCACAAAATGAGGTCTGGGCTAGGTAGAAAGAGGTCAATGCTGTTTTTGTTTTCTTTTAGGATCATTACCTTTTACCAGCTTTTAACATCTGATCTCCATAGTAGACACGCTATCATAGATAACATAGTTGAGTTCAGCACTTGTCTCATTTTAATGTAAAGATCTGCTTCCATTTTCTACCGGCAGTCTCTCTCCTTCCCCACAGTCCCATCGTGCAGGTGCTAATGTTGCTCTTACATTTTTGGAAACGTTATTTTTCTTCTACGTGAGATTCCTAGCCTGCACTTTGATGTCATGTGTTCCCTTTGTCTTTCAAACTGTAAGGTTTCCTTCTGGTCCTCTTCCTTATCCTGGGGAGCCTTCCCAGAGACCTTACCTTCAGCTGTTTGGACTTTGTATACTTTAAATAATTTAACTACCCTAATTACTTAAAAAAAAAGCTTTATGATTTTCATAACTTATTGCTGATTTTAATGGGTTGTTAATTTCAGTCCTGTAGTTTTATTTTATGTTTAGATAGGGCTGGACAAGAAAAAAGAAAATAAAGACAACCATATCTAGCAGCCCAGTTGAGTTGTGTGTTAATATTAAGACTATTCTGAGTAGCATTTTAATAGCATCCACTGCTTCTGTCTAGGAAATGTTCTACCCTGGGCAGTCACACACCCTCAGTATGTGTGTGTGTGTGCATGTGTGTGTGGGTATGTATGCACATGCCCTCTTCACATGCCTTACTTGTGCTGTTTGAGTGGGAAAAGTTCCTTGAAACTGCATATATTTGGAAACCCAGCATTAGAACTTGTTACATTTCACGGGCTGGGAAGGTGGCTCAGTGGTAGAGCGCTTGCCTTGCATGCATGAGGCCCTGGGTTCGATTCCTCAGCACCACATAAGCAAAAATAAGAAAAAAAGCTGGAAGTGGCGCTGTGGCTCAAGTGGTAGAGCACTAGCCTTGAGCTGAAGAGCTGAGGGACAGTGCCAGGCCCAGAGTTCAGGCTCCACGACTGGACCCCCCCCCAAAAAAAAAAAAAAAAGAACTTGTTACATTTCAGGTACTGGGAACTTAAAAACAGGAGAAAACAAACTCATTTCTGTGCCCTAGGTAAATTATTTCTACTTTCAAGATTAATTACACTTTTAGGTAAGCTGTTGTTCTATAGAAATTGCTTACTTTTGATTTTCCTGAGTTTAGTTTAAAGGGTGCTAGCAAGCATGGGAAGTGAGGCCAGTACAAAGGTCCATATTGTTAATCTGAGGACATTCATCAGCATCATTAGACCCATGGCTGGAATTGGGGGCAAACTTGCAGAACCATTTTGTTGTGTTACAGGATGGGCTACAAACCTACAATGCATATTCCTACTGTCCCCTAAACTACTCCTTCCTTGGGTTTTTCTTCAAGGACATGGGTAGACTGTGATGGATACGAAGTGCTAATTTTCTAAAAGATAAATCAACTTTGAAGACACAAAAGTTAACCACAAGAGATAAAACTGACTACAGACACCTGGGGTGTTTTTTTAAACACCTCCATAAAAACAAAAATTTGTTGAGTATTCACATCTTTGAGCAACTGTCTCTGAAATGTCTATGTTGATACTGTATCAGAAGTCCAGTTCATGACAATTATAATTACCATATCTATTCTAATATTTAGGCAAATTCCTGCTCCTACTAAAATTCCATATAACCTAGCTGCATGGGGTCTAATGTACCTGCTATAGCTTCAGGTAGGGCATAAAGACATTCGTCATTCTCATTATCTGATCTCTTTAACTTTAGAAAATCTCTTTGACAAGCTGAAAATACGCCTGGGCGTTCTCATTTAGTACTCTTCTAGTAAAGCACCCGTAAGGGGATACATCAAGAGGTTGAATACACCCTGTGCCAGGGAGTACTAGCAAAGGATTCTGAGGTAGCACAGGTATCTGGTTAGCACAGAAGTGAGAAATCTTATTGAAAGTGCTTTTTCTAGTCCCCAGGACAATGCCTGATTTAACAATTAAGAAGGGATTTTAAAAGGCATTAAGGAATGAGGCGGTAATGCTTCCTGGTTCCTATCTATTGAGAAGTTGTTTTGCCTTTCAGTGATATGTGTGTGTGTGTGTGAGAGAGAGAGAGTTGAAACTTTGCCTCTTTTTAGTATCCTCTCCACACACACACAAAAATCCTGGATGCAAATGGAAGTCATCCTAACCAAAACAGTATAGAGGTAGCAGGGATGCTACCTTTTAGTTGAAGTGATTCCCTTGCCAGTGTCCTGAATAGCTAGGACCAGACCGCGGCACCACTCCTGCGTCCACGTTTGATTCCTGCAGAATCGTTAAAATAAATACTTCATAAGAGAAGTACCATCAGTTCTTAGTGATTATTTGTTTGGTATTTTATTTAAAGTTCTTTTTAAGTTTTATTGTAAAGGTGATGTACAGAGGAGTTCGTTACATAAGTCAGGTAATGAGTACATTTCTTTTTGAACAGTGTCACCCCCTCATTCTCTCCCAATTTTCCCCTCCCATCTTCCCTCCCCCCACCAAAAAAAAGTTACATAGTTCATTTCCAACATTGTATCTAGTAGGTTTCACTGCTGAGTTGGTTCAGCCTTTGTCCCTGTTTCTGAGCTTCCCTTTCCCCTCCCCAAATCAGATAAACTTATAAGACAAAGGGTACAGAAATAAAAACCACAACGGAAGGGAATAACCCAAATAAAAAAAGAAGAAAAAGAACCACAAACAGCATTAAAGAAAAACAACTTGCCATTTCTTGGTGCTCATTTTTATAAGCCTCATTTATATGATCATACGCACATAGTTATTGAGCCCTTTCATTCTATGCTTAGTATAATTTTTTTCAAGTCTTCCCATTCCTTACAAATGGGGTGATGTCATTCTTTCTGATGGAAGCATAGAATTCCATTGTATCATATTTTCTTGATCCATTTGTCCACTGAGGGGGCATCTGGGTTGATTTCATGTCTTGGCTATGGTAAACTGTGCTGCAGTGAACATGGTCATGATGGTGGCTTTAGTGTAGTCTGGTTTGTGGTCAGTTGGATAGATGCCCTGAGTGATTGCTGGGTCCTAGGGTAGCTCCATACTGCTTTCCAGAGTGGTTGAACAAGTTTACACTCCCACCAACAGTGTGGTAACATTCCCTTTGGGCCACATCCCCACCAGTATCTATTATTTTCTTGATAGGTTTTGGGTGTTTTTTTTTTTTTTTAAAGGACTAACCTGATAGTAGCCACCATATGGAAACTGAGTGCCCTAGATAGTGTTGAGTGCTTACCTTTCTAAAAGTCAGTGTCCACTTTCTTGGCCCATATGTAGCAATACGAATAGAAAACTGGTTTTCTTGTGGACTGTCTGATTTCCTTTGTGTGTGTGTGTGATGTTGAGGATCAAACCTAGGGGCCTTGCACATGCTAAGCAAGTACTGTACCAGTGAATTATATCATCAGCCCTTGTCTGATTCTTTTAAACAGGTATTGTAATTCCAAAGATAAGTACTGGGCAACAATTTCACTTCTTGGCTTTATTGTTCTTCAGTCATAAATTATTAAAAATAGGGCTGGGAAGGTGGCTCAGTGGTAGAGCGCTTGCCTTGCATGCCTCAGGCTCTGGGTTCGATTCCTCAGCACCACATAAGCAAAAAGAAAAGAGCCGGAAGTGGCGCTGTGGCTCAAGTGGTAGAGTGCTAGCCTTGAGCTGAAGAGCTGAGGGACAGCGCCCAGGCCCAGAGTTCAGGCACCACGACTGGACCCCCCCAAAAAAATTATTTAAAAAAGCTTGAATATAAGCTTTTAAAATATTGCCTATGCCAGATGCCAGTGGCTTCTTTCTAATCCTAGTTACTCAGGAAGCTGAGATCTGAGGATTGTGGTTCAAAGACAGCCCAAGCAGAGAAATCAGACCTTCTTGGCCTGGGTGCTGTTCCTGAGTTCTTCAGCTCAAGGCTAGCACTCAGACATAGCACCACTTCCGGTTTTCTGAGTGGTTCCTTGGAGATGAGTCTCAAGGTCTGTCCTGCCTAGGCTGGCTTTGATCCGAGATCCTCAGATCTCAGCCTCCTGAGTAGCTATGATTACAGGCATGAGCCACCATGGTCTCAGTGAGACCCTTATCTCCAATTAACCACCAAAAAAAAGGCTGTGGGGCTCAAGTAGTCATACTTACTTAGCCTTACTTAGTCCAAGCCTTACTTAACCTTAAGAAAAAAACACCTCAGGGACAGTGCTTAGGTCCTGAGTTCAAGTCCCAGGACTGGCAACAACAAATACTGCCTACTAACTTACTGTAGTTTTGGAATTCTTTCTGTTCTCTCAGTTCTGAGCATTTGCTCAGAGTTACTGATGGGGCAATGATACTTAGTGCAGATGTTCACTCCAGGACAGACTAGCACTGTAAAAAATAAAGTCAAAAGATTCTGCTAAGATATATACTAAAAGAATATAAATGAGTGCTGGTGGCTCATGCCTGTAATCCTAATTACTCGGGAGGCTAAGATCTTAGAATCACAACTTGAAGCCAGCCTCAACAGAAAAGGTGTGAGAGCCTTATAAACTCAGAAAAAGCTAGAAGTGGCACTGTGGCTCAAGTGGTAGAGCACTAGCCTTGAACACAGAGTGGCTCAGGGACAGAGCCCAGGCCCTGAGTTCAAGCCCCATGACCAGCAAAAATAAAATGTATCAAAATGAACTCCAGGAAATAGAAATGAGGCTTTGTTGTTTTCTTATCTATCTTTGGAAGGGAAGGAGGCAGGGAAGGGGGGCAGAGGGAAGACAAGGGGTGAACAAAAAATAAAGCAGTGATACTATGTTAAAAATGAACTAAACAGCCAGGTGCCAGTGGCTCACACCGATAATCCTAGGGACTCAGGAGGCTAAGATCTGGGGATAGCAGTTCAAAGCCAGTCTGGGCAGGAAAGGCCATGAGACTCATCTCCAATTAACCACCAGAAAACTGGAAGTGGCGCTGTTGCTCAAGTGGTAGTAGACTGCTTGCTTGCCTTGAACTGAAGAGCTGAGGGA